AAAAAAATTATTCCTGAGCCCAACTTCCATGCAACAGATCTTCCATAGAGGGTGTGAGGTCATGCCATGCAGCTTCTCAGCGGGACCAAACGACATTAGCCAATTACAGAGCAGGCTCCTGAGCCACTTTGTTCTCTGCAGAGCAAACAGCCCAGTGTTTTAATTCCCTGGGAGGGAGAATCTTTCACATAGAGAGCTTCACACAATTTCTTATTTAGGAAAGGTTTAAAGAGATTTGTGCTGGAGTATTTAATCCCAAACCCTGGAACTGTCCCAGCAGTGGGTATAGATTAGGGGACAGTTGACTTCACACATTGATATTCAAAATAGAAAAGGGTTATTCTTCAAAAGTGGCAGGGAGATTGGTGAGTGACAGACAGTACCCGACACCAGCTGCGCAGGGCGTAAACCTCACTCTCTCTCAACCTTCAGGAGCTTCTGCCGCTTTTGGCAAGCTAACTTCCTGCTTAATGGAGGGCTCCCCTGAGCATTTGGATGCAGGGTACTTTGCAAAATCAACCACAGGTCTGACTGCTCTCAAGGAAATAGCTCTATCATCTCTCTCTCTCTCTCTCTCTCTCTCTCTCTCTGTTGCATTTTCCATCCTATTTCACTATATTTTCAGGCCACAGACTAGGAATGCTTACATTTGGCAGTGATCCCACAGTCATAAAATCCAAGAAGGATTGTTTATTTATAAGAATTCTGCAGTTAGGGTGAGTTCAATAGAATGCTTCAATTTAAAGTAAGCAAGAAGCATTGTGTAATCCATCACCAATTTATATTTTCCATTGAGAGAACAGCATTTATCTCTCTCTGCAAATAGCCACACATTTGCTCTTGGTGTTTGCCAAGTCAAATACCCAGCCAGTGAATGTTAGACAACCCTGAGAGGAAGTGAATGCATAAATCATACCTTGGGATTTTGTAGGCAGCGTGCAGAGCTATAGAAAATGCCCATAGGCCTTTAAAAAAAAGGTGAACTCTTACATCCAGAGTTATAAGAATTGGGTCTGAAAGCTTACTACCAGTCACAAACAGAAGCACGCTCTCCCACCACTTGGTGGTCTGTAGGGTGTAGTGTACATGATCCAAGTAAAAACCGAGGTCTAATCAGTGACCTTGGAGGTAATGTCAAATTGGTAGGGCTGGAGAGGGATCAATTTCAAAGAAGGTTGGCAATGTGCCAACGTCATGTGAGCAAAGAGAAAAGCAGCACAAAGGTGAGAAAGGAGATCCAAAGAGCAATATGTTTGGTCCAAGAATATGAGCCCTAGCTTCTGGTTTGGTAGACCCATGGATGAGAACCCAGTCACCTATCATACTAAGTGAAATAAGCGAATCCCAGAAAACCAAAGGCCAAATGTTCTCTCTGATATGTGGATGCTAACACACAATAAGTGGTGGGCGTGTGATTAGACAAAGGGGAAGTGAAGGGGAGGAAGTAGGGATGGGAACAGGAAAGACAGTAGAAGGAATCTGACTAAATTTTCCTATGTTCATATATGAACACATAACCAGTGTAACTCCACATCTTGTACAACCACAGGAATGGAAAGTTATATTCTCCATGTGTATAATATGACAAAATATACTGTATTGTCATGTATATCTAAAATCCATGTATACCTAGAATCTAGTCACAGAAATCCCACCAAAGCAATATATCCCCAAAGCTCCTATGTGTTCACCAGAGAGCCCAGTCGCATCCCTATGGAGATTCGATGGTTTCCACTTTCTGAATGCTTCTTTCTGTAATCCCCACACATCATAAATCTATATCACTGTAGAGGCACAAATTGCAAAGTAATGGATCATGGCCAAATACTTGCAACAGAATGGAGGAGAAATGTGGAGACATGGCTTAGGTCTAGACTCAGATGGCACGGGGGTGAAATACATCACAATATTATCAAGAGGAATCCCATCCATGACTTCTGGTTGTTTTCCGCATATTTCAAGTGTTAGTCTGATACTTAGGAAAAAAATACAAGATTTATAAGCATTATAAACATAAAAGATAATAAAATGGAAGTCCAGGAAGTGTTTTAAAAGGGACTGGTGTTAAGGAAGAAAAGAAGAAAAATGTCACCATCAGTAGGTAGAACCATCCATAAGGTTTTCCGGATAAATGCAAAATTGATAGGAACTAGGCCCCTGCCCCTGGGCTTGAGGTTCAGCATAGCCCTACCTTATGGAAGGGAGACTAGAAGAGACAACGTGAGACTCCCATTCCAATCAGTCGTGAAGAGGCAAAAAATGTGCTTTGAGTAGGAAACAGGAAAAGATTTTGAGACAAAATAATAGTAATGAAAATAACAGTATTCAGGACCCAAGAGTAAGAGCAGACTGGATTTCCAAAATGAATGTCAGGTTCTGATGAGGACAAAATGATGAAAGTGGTATAGTTGGTCTCACATTTTAGTTATTTTTGTGTAAGAAACCACAGAACCTCAGCGACAGAGGAAAGAGAGTATTTATTTAGTTCCCACATCTGTGGGTCTACTGAGACCCAAGTGATACAGGCTGGTCTCCGCTGAGTGGCTCTGCCAGTCTTGGGAAGCTCCCCTTGCAACTGTGGTCTGCCTGGGGTTTGACGGATGGAGGCTCAGCTCGGCTAGGGTGTTGGGCTGATGTGGTTCTGTTCCACGAGACGTTTATCCTCCTCCTGGCACCCACGGGCTAGTCTAGGCATGTCCTCCCTGTCATGGAAGCAGAAATGTTAAAAAAGCAAGCCCAACTGCAAACATGCATTTTAAACTTTGGGTGCAGGTTCCACTGGTCAAAGAAAATGACAGCCACCCCAAATGTCAAAAGGGCAGAAATGTATTCCACCCATGGAGGTTGGTGGGTGGATGGGAGAGATGGAAGGAGGAACTATTTCCAAACAATAATCCACCAGTTCTCCAGTTTTAAAACATAATAAATTCAGAAACCATGAAGAATAAAAGAAACGTGTAAAAAGCAAGAACGGGGCTAAGTCTGATTCAATTCTCATTTTCATCAGATGAACCCCAGGTTCTTCTCTCTCTCCTCCAGGTGAATAAGAGAGAGCAGTCCAGATGGAAATGCTCGGAAACCACATGACCCGCTTTGCACACCATGGCCCCACAATCCTGCCACAATCCAATCGACCTGAAAAGCTAGCTTCACTCTCACATCTCGAACATGCATGGCTGTCCTGTGGTGTGAATTGTGCAGCTGTCGCCATCTGAATATTTGGCCCATTTCCCAGGAATGATTATTCTTTAAATGTGGAGGAGAGATGCATTATTTTTAAAAATCAAGTAAAGGTTAAGTATGAATAGAAACTAACATAAGGACTTGGGATCAAGATGACATAGTGATTGGTGCTAGAAAAAAAAAATACTTCAGCACACATGCACAGCTCCAAACACTTAATGATGATAAAATATGGAAATAGGAAAACCAAACTACACTACTCAAAGTCAAACAAAAATATTCAGGAAAGCAACCCCATTCACAATAATTACAAAGAAAATAAAACACTCAGGAAAACATTTAATGAAGGAAGTGAAAAAAATGTATATAATGAAAATTATACAACACTGAAGAAAATAATTGAAGAGGACACGGAAAAGATGGAAATACTTTACGTGATCACAGATTTCAAGAATTAATACTGTTAACTTGTCCATACTACCCAAAGCAATATACACATTTAATACAAAATTTGCAGATTCCCCATCAAAACACCAATGACATTCTTTATCGAATAAGGAAAAAAATCCTAAAACTCATATGGAAGTATATGGAACTCATACAGAAGCAAAAATCCCTAAATAACCAAAACAATCCCTAGCACATACACAAAGAAAGCTGAAGGTCTCACACAACCTATTTCAAAACACACTACAAAGCCATAATAATGAAAAAAAAATGCTGAATTGTCCTAAAAACAGACACACAAACAAATGGAATCGAATAGAGTGACCAGAAATAACACCATGCACCTTGATGTTATTTCTGACAAGGTTTCCTTCAACAGATAAATGGATAAAGAAAATATCACTCACATACACACATACATACACACACACACACACACACACATACACACACAATGGAATACTACTCAGCCATAAAAATAATGGTTTTATGACTTTTTCCAATAGATGGATGAATCTGGAGACTATCCTACTAAGTGAAATAAGCCAATCCCAAAAAGCCAAAGGTCGAATGTTCTCTCTGATATGTGGATACTAACATGCAATAAGTGGAGGGAGGATGGATAAATAGAAGTTCAGTGGAGTAGGCAAAGAAGGATGAAGGGAAAGGAGGGGGTATGGGAATAAGAAATATAGTAGAATGAATTAGTCATAAATTTCCTATGTTCGTGTATACACCATCAGTGAATCTCCAAATCATGTATAACCATGAGATTCTAATTAGAGTAAGTTGTACTCCATGTATGTATAATATGTCAAAATCCACTCTACTTTGTCTATATCTGAAAGAACATTTTTAGGAGAAATTGAAATTTATTGCTATAAAGTTTTTACTTGGTATATGAGGTGAAGTGATATAGTATTTTTATATTAGTTCTAATCAGTTATACATGACAGAAGAAAGCTCTTCTATTTGTTGTATACAAATGGAGCAGAATTTTTCACTTCTCTGGTTGTACATGAAGTAGAATCACATCATTCATGCAATCATACATGCAACTGAGGTAATGATGTCCATCTAATTCCACCATCTTTCCTACCCACTTCCACCCTCCCCCTTGAGCCAAAGTTCCTTCACTCATCCCATCCCGCCCCCCATTATCAATTAGCATCCACTTATCAGAGAAAACATTCATCCCCCAGTTTTGGGGAATTGGCTCATTTTGCTTAGCATGATGTTCTCCAACTCCATCCATTTACCTGCAAATGCCATAATTCTCTTTGGTTCCACAGTATAGCAATTGTGAATTGTGCTGCTATAAACATTGAAATGGCTGTGTCACTGTAGTATGCTGTTTTTAAGTTCTTTTGGTATAGACTGAGGAGTGGGATAGGTGATTCCATTCCAAGTTTTCTGAAGAATCTCCATACAGCTTTCCAGAGTGGTTGCACCAATTTGCAGTCCCAAACACAATTTATGAGTGTGCCTTTATCCCCACATCCTCACCATCACTTATTGTTGCTTGTTTTCTTGATAACTGCCATTCTGACTGGAGTGAGATGAAATCTTAGGGTAGTTTTGATTTGCATTTTAAATGAACAAAATTTAAAAGTTATTTTGAAAAAGAAGGAGGAGGAAGAAAAAGAGGAGGAGGAAGAAGAGGAGGAGGAAGAGGAAAAAAAGTAACACCATGTATTTACAGCCAACCAATTCTTCACAAAAGCACCAAAAGCATATACCACAGAGCCTCTTGAACAAATGGTGTAGGGAAAACTGTCTATTCACATTTCAGACAATTATAACTTAACCCTTATCTCTCACTCTATATAAAAATCAAATAAAAATGTAAGACCTGGATATGAAATCAGTAGAAGAAAACAGGGGGACACTCCAAGACATCAGTATAGGCAACAGTTTTTTGGTTTAGGTAAGTTACCTACACAGTCATGTAGCAGAACACAGTAAGGTAGAATAGATAAATTCTGGTGTCCTACAGGGCCGTGGAGGACTTTAGTTGACAGTAATCTAATATGTAGGTTAAGAATAGCCAGAAGTGAAGAGTTGAAAGGCTCCAAACAAAAAGTAATGATAAAGAGGAGGGAACATTAATTATCCTGATTTGATCAGCACATATTGTATACATACATTGAAATCCATGCTTTAAATATGTATAATTATTATGTTAGTAAAAAAAATGTTTAAGGACATGGAAATGTTAACTACCCTGATTTGATCATTATACACCATATAAATGAATTGAATTATCACATTGTACCTCAGAAATGTGTGCAATTAAAATAATTTTTTGAAAAGAAAATAAAATTCAGAGGGAAGTGTATGATAACATAATAGTATGCATAGAAATTGACCTTTGCTATTGGTGAAATGAACAAACTGCTGAATGTAAAAACAAAAGAGAGATGAAAGAAAGAAACCATGATAATTTCTATATCAAAATAAATGTGTTCACCTAGAGCCCTGGACAACAAAAACAAGTTCAAGGCCAGCCTTAGCAACTTAGTGAGACTCTGTCTCAAATTTAAAAAAAAATAAAAACTTAAAAAGGGCTGGAGATGTATCTGTGCTAAAGTGTTCCTGGGTTCAATTCCCAGTAACAAAAAACAAGATGAAGAAGGAAAGAAAAAAAAAAGATAAAGAACTATGGTGCATAAAAGTGTCAAAAGGTCTTCTTCAATTTATAGAAAACTCTCATCTATGTGAGAGCAGGCTTGTAGGACAGAGGTTCCCAGGGGAGAGTGTGAATCTAGTTCTGTCTTGGATGGTAATAGCTGCTCCATGAATGCATGAGGCATGGGCTGTGGATCAGAGCCAGTGTCAGCCTGGCAGGCCTGCACGAACATCAGACAAAGTAGACAATGGCCAGAAGTGTGATGAGAGTTACAGGAGATATAATAAGACAATACAGTCCACCAGGTAGATTTTATAACTCTAAATAAATGCCCCAAGTTACGATACCTCAATACAAATGAAGCAGAAATTAATCACAACGACCACAATAATTTATAAAGTACATCTTTAAAACAAGTGGAGAAAAATCCAAAGAATTAATAATAAAATGTATCCGTTAATTAAACAGAAATCTTTATTTATTTGTTTGTTTTTCCGGTGCTGGGGATCAAACTCAGGGTTTCATCCATGCTCAGTCCAGGCTCTACCACTGAGCTACATTCCCACCCCTCAGTAGAATTTTTTTTTTCAAACAACCCAGATTTCTAAATTTATTTGACCTTGGCACTTTGCTTTCGCTTTATTTCCTGCCTAGCATCTTTAAAGCCATGCATTCTCTCTCTAGTTGTATTTTAACAATAGAGGTTTCCAGAGTACTTAGCTCCCTTTTATGGTTTAGATGTGGTGTCCCCCAAATGCTTCTATGTGAGACAAGGCAAGGGGTTAGATAATCATGGAGGGTTATATCTTTAACCTTATCAGTGAATTAATTCCTGGTGGTATATTAACTGAGTGGTAACTGGAAGCAGGTGGGGTGTGGCTAGAGGAAGTGGCTCATTGTGGGTGGGGCTAGTCTCTCTCTGCCTCTTGATCATTGTGTGAGCTGCTTCGAGTTGGCACATTCTTCTGCCAGGATGGTCAGCCTCACGTTGAGCCCCGAGGAATGGAGCCTACTGTCTGTGGATTGAGACCTCTGAAACCATGAGTGCCTAAATAAACCTCTCCTCCTTTACAATTGTTCTGGTCAGGTCCTTTAGTCACCCCAGTGCAAATGCTGACTAAAATACTCACCAAACTACCAGAAGCAAAAGCCCTTTCATATCCCTTGTTGCTGCTATTAAAATTGTAGTTTCCTGCTTGGAAACAAGTACTAGATTAATACATGTGAATTCCATCAGAGTTGAGGACCATATCAGCTTTTATTCACTGGCATCTGTGTCTAGCGGAGTGATCTGCAATTAATATGCAAAATGTGATTCTTGTCTTTTAAGAAGTTGAGCAGGAAAGGCAGATATTGAACAGATAGTAACACACATTTAAATAAATCTATGTGTGCTGAGCAATAGAAAGATGTTCAGGTTGCAGAGAAAGACATAGGAGAAGA